CTGGAGAAGGATATCATATTTGGTAAGGTGTAGAGTCAGAGAAAAAGAGGAAGATCCCCAATGAGATGGATTAGCCAAGTGGCAGCACTGATGGACTCAAGTGTGGCAACAGTGGTGAGGTTGGCCCAGGATCGGGCACTGTTTCATTCTGCTATGCATAAGGTTGCTATGGGTCTGTACAGACTCCATGGCACCTAACAACAACCATAATTAGAAACACTTTGATCAGGGATTGGAAAGAGCTCCCTAGGAGGGAACAATACTTTTCTTATCTTTGAATTCCTTTAGGGTCTAATGCTTTAATTTGTACATAGTTGTTGCTTGTTGTCATAACGACTCTGTGTACAACAAAACAAAACCTTGCCCAAGCCTGCCCCATCTTCACAGTGTTAGCTGTTTGAGCGCATTGTTGCAGCCACTGTATCAGTGCATCTTGTTGGGGGTTTTCCTCATTTTCACTGACCCTCTAGTTTACCAAGCATGATGTGTTTCTCCAGGGACTGGTCCTTCCTAATAACAAGTACAAAGTACAAAGTCTCGCCATCCTCACTTCTAAAGAGCATTCTGATTGTACTTCTTCCAACACAGATTTGTTTGTACTTCTGGTTGTTGTTGTTGTTAAGTGCCATGGAGTTGGTTCCAACTCATAGCAACTCTGTACAGGATTTCCTAGGAACAACTAGTGGGTTAGAACCACTGACCTGCAGTTAGCAATTCAGTGCTGATCCTACAGTAGTCCATGGTATAGTCAATATTCTTTACCTATACCACAATTCACAAGCATAAATTCTTTTTTTTTCTTATTTATATATGTACACTGACTCATAGCAACCCTGTATAGGATTTCCTAGGTTGTAAATCTTTACAGGAGCAGAAAGCCTCAACTGTCTCCCACAGAGCAGCTAGTGGATTCAAAGTGCTGACCTTGTGGGTGGCATCCCAACTCATAACCCACTATACCACCAGGGCTCCTTATATATGTACGTATTGTTGTGGCTGTTAAGTGCTGTCGAGTTGGTTCCAACTCATAGTGACCCTGTATAATGTTTCCAAGGAGTGGTTGATGGCTTTGAATCACTGATCTTGTAGTTCAAACTGACGTTATGTTATGGTCCAGTGCTTATCCAACAGCGCCACACAGGACTCCCAGATATGTTCATTTTGTTGTTGTTGTTAAGTGCCATTGAGTCAGTTCCTACCCATAGCGACCCTGCCAAATGGCTTTGCAGTCTGGCACATTAACCTACAGCACCACACTAGGACTCTCTCTCTCTCTCTCTCTCTCTCTCT